TTTTTTTTTTTTTTTCTGAGTTCTATGCCTCATCAGAGATTTCTATTCAGGTCCTGATGTCAAGGAGAGCTTTGCCACACACGGTGGGGCCCAAAGAGGCTTGTGGCTCATGGACTGGTAATGAACCATCATGTTACAAATTGTAACTGCATTGTCAGGCTGTCCAGTGAGCTGGTACAGAGCCATTCAGGCCACACCTGCACCCCACAGCACATTGTTCCTCTAGCCTGCAATTACCCACATCCTGGAGTGGTTAGAGTGCTACATGAACCATTAAAAGTGGAATTTATTTTAGAATAGAGGGTACTTTTCAAGAAGAAGCTCAGGAGTGCCAAGAGCAGAAGCAGAGGAAAGGATAAGGCGGTTGGTAGCACATCTATACAATAGTGTGAACAGCAAAGCTCATTATATTTCATAGAAAAATTTGGAGTAATAAAGGGAGAGTTTTTGCATGCTTTTTTAGGAGAGGACACCAACAAACTCTGAGTTTRAGGGCTGCCATCTGCTGAGGTCTGCCAGGTTACTCTGAGCAATTCATTAGAACTGTTTCTGCTGTCAGTGTATCACCTTGGTGACATGTTTCTCACCCTTTATGCCAGTGCTTAACTTTCCCGATGGGAGCTGTTGTGGATGTGAACACAATAAGTCATGGATGGATATGTGGAATAAAGTGGTGTCTGCCARAAAGTAGAGGTTGGAGCTCATATTTTAGATTCCACTAGAAGCTCTGACCAGAAAGAGCTCAGAGGGCCACTAACTAAATAACCTTGTGAAGCCACAACTGAGTAATGGACACGAGGAAACAAACTTTGTTTTATGTGCCCCTCTTAGAGCACAGGATAAGAACACAAAACMCTGACTGTGCATGTGTGACAGTGTCTGAGAAGGGCTGGGCCAGGAGCCTCGGGGACTGCTGCTGTGYTTTAATGAGCTCTCTGGTGCCACAGCCTTAGAGGGTGACAGTGACTGTGACTCAGGCAGAATTGCCAGCTAGCAGGAGAAGAGCCAGATGAGCAGCGGTGTCACTACCTGCTTCTCTTCTGTGTCCCACAGCTGCATCCTATGACAAGCGAATTGCACTCTGGGATATTGGGATTCCAGACTGTGACTACAATTTCAAAGCAAGGTAAAGGTGCAAAAGCCAGATGTGGCCAGTCCAGGAGCCTGTAACTATCAGCACCACTTAACAGCTTGTTCTCTGCTTTTTTGTAGCCAGCTGCTGGTGCTGGAAGCGGCCTCCATCCCCCTACGGATTGCCCTGGTCCCCACCTGCCCGGAGCAGTACCTGCTGGCAGGCTGTGAAGATGGCTGCTTTGCCTGGAACATAAAACTGGATAAGGGACAAAAAAGCAGGTGAGAACCACAAGCTGGGGGTATACATTTGTTGTCCACAACAAGAACAGATAGTCCTAGCGAAGGCTGGATTTCTAACTGAGAAAATCTGAGCAAAAGCAGCATGTCCTAACAAACTTAAAACATCCTCCCCTTCCCACAGTGGCCAGAAAAAATAGGAGAATGATTCTCAAGGAGTGTTCAGAGCTTGTATTAAAGCTGCAGTCTGCAGGTGTTGCAGGCTGCTTTGCAGGRAGACTGGCAGGATTGTAATCCAATACCCCAAAACTTAAGGGCGTGTCATCTGCAGGTAGTGTAACGGAGTGTAAATTTTTGGATCGATTTCCAGTCTCACAGCAAGGCCTTCTCTGCTCCTGGTACGTGAGGTAACCCAGGAAACTGGCACTCTGTGGGAGCTCAGGAAAAAAATACGAGGAAGAAGCAAATAAAGTCATGCCCTGCTGACAAATACTAATCCTGATGCCTGCAAAAGAGATGGAGTGAAACGGCAATCTCTTGAGCAAACTTCTGCTGTATTAATAAACCCAGGTGACCAAAAGTGTAAGTTCAAGTGGGAATTCACCTGAGCTTGGCAAGAGACTCGCTAACACACATATTTCCTTCTGGGCTCGGCACTTGGGTGCCCTTTCACTGCTGTCTGTTCAGGACTTGGCTCATTTCACCCTTCCCTCTGCTSTAGGCCTTTTGAAGCCATATTCCAGTTTCCTGGTGATGAAAGCATGACAACATCTCACAGGGTTGATGGTTTGGCTTTTCTCAATGATGATGTTGTTGGTGAGTATAAACACAACAGCCCAATCCCAAAAGCAGTGGGGCACCTCAGTATGTGCAGGGTGAAGCCAACATGACAAGGAGAGGGGCTGAACGGGGTGTGGGTGCCTCTTCTTTAGCTTTGTGGGGGCTACCCAGGATGGAGTTGCCTCCCAGAGTCACTTGTCTTTCCCAAAGAAGTGGCCTGCAGTGCAAACCCATGTCTGGGCAGGACTGGAAATCAGATGGACCCATCCCTGAGAGCACACTTGGTCAAGCAGTGCCAGTGTGGAAGGGAGGAGAGTTCCTTTATAGTCAAGTGCTGGTGGCAGCAGATTTTTTTTCAGGGGAACTGGGGGTTCCACATCATGGGCTGAGTCTTTCTGAATAGCTTATGCTTGTTCTGAAGCTCAGGAACATAAGCATAGCATTGAAAATCTGCARCCTCCAATTATCCTGCAATAAGGTAAAACAGATGGAAACAGTTGCTGCTGGATCATATCCCACATCATAAAAGCTGTATTCTGAATGGACCACRTTTTCCTCAGTGCATTCTGCTTTCCAGCAGCTGACACAGCCTCTCCCTTCCTTTCTTCCCTAGTTTCCAAGAGCTCCAAGCCAGGATGCATATACTTGTGGAGCTGGAGCAGGTCTTTCGATGCCAAGGGAAAAGGATGCCAACGGACAATGTCTGCAGTTATCCTGGCTGAGCTGGAGTGGTCCACAACAGACATGTCCTACCTGACACTCAGCACCTGCCCAGGTAGGCAGCACTCATCCTCAGGGCAAACACAGAGAAATATTTGACCCATCAGAGCAATCCAGAGTGGAGGCAGAGGCCTGGATTCCAGAGCTCTGCTCTCCCTGCACTCTGCAGCTCTGCAGTGCAGCTCCAGCAGCAGCTGAGTGGAAATAACACAAGTAATAAATAATAACAGCTGCACCATCTGCCCTCCAAAGGGGGGACAGCCGAGCCTGGGGGTTGTTTCTTGCACGGGTTTTGAAAGCCCAGAGCTCAGGGCTAGGCCCTGTGGAGCCACTGTTATGCTGAGAGCATCTGTGGGTAGAAATGTCACACACACTGGGCAGCTGGTTTTGGAGATTGACAAGGAATAAACAGACCTGATCTGGTCAGCACTTCACACAACCAGTTTAAAAAAGTCAGGAGAAATTCCAAAGTATTTGACACTAGTTTTTCTACCCTAAAGATAGCTGGTTTATCTTCAAATGAGTTCTTTCAGAGCAAGGTAGATCCGTATTTTTGTGCTGGAAAGGGAATTTTAATGAAATATGGCACTCTCCATTGGGATCCTGTACCACTGCCTGGAGCTCTGCTCTGTAGCACAACAGACTCTCAGTTCCACACTCGTTTTCCAGCATTTTCTTCTTCTCTCACAGCAAAAGACTACGTGTTCTGTGGGGATGAGAAGGGCAGTGTGTGGATGTACAACCTCTCCAACTACACCACRGCCTGGGGCTCTGCAAAGGGAAAGCGCTCGGAGCGGAGGATCTCTCCCACACAGGTAGGGCTCAGCTCCCCTTTGGGGCCTCCCTTCCACCCCAAGGCAACTGATCCCAGACTCCTGAGCAGGTTTATCCCAGAACATGCTTTGTGTTTCCACACGTGACACTCACAAGCAAGTAAAAGCAATCTCCAGAGAGATTCACTGGGACAGGAACGAGGAGCTGCAAAGCAATTCTTCATCTCCTGCAGCTCTTCCTAAAAGGGCCCTAAAAACCTGGTGGGGTAACTGGGGAGCCCAAGAGCACAGGTGTGCAGCACCACATCCTTGAAGGAGGGGAGGGAAGCCAGAGTCAATGTTCCCTGGGAGAAAAGGGCTCACTGCTGCCCTGTGCTCCCTCACCCATGTTCTGCCCAGCATTTCCCTCTTTGGCTCAGTCACTGTTCCCTTCCCATCCCTTTAAAGGACAATCACACACACTCTCAAAGGCTCCCACCCACTGGKCTGGAGCTACATTAGACATAGTTATGGAGTGGCCCAGTGTTCCATTTTTTCTTCAGTGAAAGGGTTGTGCAGGCAGGGAGGTGATGGAGTCACCATCCCTGGRGGTGGCACTCAGTGCTCTGCTCTGGGTGACAAGGTGRTGCTCAGTCAGASGTTGGCCTTKATGCTCTGGGAGCTCTTTTCCAACTCTAATRATTCTGTGATTGCTCAGGCTTTTTGGAAGAGTATTGCCAAATCACCAATCAGTTCCTCTGGGTCTGAGGGGCAGCCACTGTCACTTGTCCCTCCCTGCACTAAACCATACTTCAGGAGTATCACAAAGCTCCAACAGCCCCTCAGAAAAGGGAGGAGCCTCTGACTCAGGTTCCTTAGGGTTTCCCATGGATCCRTCTCCCTCTCAGACACACCACCCCCTCCTCTGTTCTCCCCACAGATCCTCAAGTGGCCAGAGCTCCGGGTGAACGGGGAGCAGCCGCCCGAAATCCTGGTGAACAATGTGGTAGCAGACCCTGCCTTCACCTACCTTGTTGTCCTGACCAGTGTGAACATAACAGCAATTTGGAAGAAGTCATAGTCCCCTGTGCCACAGTTTCACCCCCGTGCTTTGACCTAGTGCAGTATTAGTGACTGTTACCCATGTGCCCTTGAACGTTTTCTAGACCAGCTTTATGTGCAAGATTRAAAGAAACAAAAGGTAAGAGTTTGTGAAACTCATCAAGTCATTGTAAACATCCGGTTTCTTTTACTGTAAGTTTTCACAATTTGTGCATTTGTTTTATAGAAATGACACTTAATAAAACAAAATACCAGTTCAGTTGGCAGTGCCTGGATTTTTTGGCAGGAAAAGCAGAGAGTTCAGCTACAGCTGTCACCGAGCAGCTTCTCATGCTGGAATTGTACCCACAATAACYTCCCCATCAGCCCAGGACAAATATTTGCCTTAAAGCTCCAATTAGAAAACTAAAAATCATTTTAATGGCTTATCCACCAAATCCAGCAAGACATTTATCCTCTTGGCACAGTGCCTGTCTGCTATTAAAAAATAACAAACTCAAAATATCGCCGGTGCTGTCAAAAATTAAAAAGAAGAGGGACAAGGGGGAAAATATTTGCCATGAATGGAGGTTTAAATATTTCACCCAGCTGCCAGACACGTCATTCTGCCTCAGAAGTAACAGTCTGCTCCAAAGGGAGTATTTTACTCAATTCCTTCTTGTTTGTCCTTAATAGCAACCTGTAAAAAAAAAGCAAAACCACAAAAGCTAAGACAAGAGCTGTTACTGAGCTGGAGGTGGATGTTTAAACATTCCTGACTCTTCTGTGAAAYACAAGAACCACCCTGAACCAGCAATGGAAACCTCTACACCAGCAGAAAAATAATWTTGGAATTAAAATCAAAATTTATTTACAAACTGGTGCCCTGGTGCCTTTTCCCAGTACAAAGGCAATATCTTAGTCACAGTCTCCCTGGGTTTGTCTGAGTAATATTTTGGTCAGATTAAATATCAAAAATCTKGGTTAAATAAATGAATAAACTAAACAGAAGCAACGAGAACTGAAAATACTGGCCCAGTTTTGGCAGAAGTAAAAAAAAAATGAAGAAAATGCAGCGGGAAGAACAGAGAATTGTTTTCTATTAATAAAATGAAGAAAAGTTGAGAGAATTTGGATTGTTCAGCCTAGAAAAGAAAAGGTTCTGGGGTGACCTAATTGCTGCCTGAAGGAGCCAACAGGAAAGATGGAGAGAGACCATTTACAAGGGCCTGGAGTGACAGGACAAGGGGAATGGCTTCCAACTGCCAGAGGACAGGTCTGGATGGGATTTTGGAAAGAAATTGTTCCCAGTGAGGGTGGGGAGGCCCTGGCACAGGGTGCCCAGAGAAGCTGTGGAATTGCCCCTGGATCCCTGGCAGTGTCCAAGGCCAGGCTGGACAGGGCTTGGAGCACCCTGGGACAGTGGAAGCTGTCCCTGTCCATGGCAGGGGGTGGCACTGGATGAGCTTTAAGGCCCCTTGCACCCCAAACCATTCTCTGATTCTATAAAGACTGGGAAAACCAATTCCAGGCATTTGGGAATGACAGAGCACCCTCTGAACACTTTTTCTGGGCACACAAATAACCACTGAAAAGCAGCCAGACTCTGCCACACCATGACAGGAGCTGAACAACACAGTGAGGGTGGCTTGATTTAATTTATAAACCTAAAACCCAGCAGCTTTAAGACACAYGACCCCATCCCTTTGATTAACAGGCCCAAATAGTTTCAAGGAAAAGGAATAAACTTACCCTGAACCTCTCCTCCAGGAGGGAGAGTTCACTGATCAGATCCGTGATTGCATTGGTGAAAGCTTCCTGGGGGCTGTAATCAGGGGTGGTTTGRACACGGATGATAATTTTATGTTCCAGAGGGTGTGGCACTTTATACCCTGCAAACAACACCTGCGGGTCTTTGAGCAACTGCCTGCAGCGGGAAAAAAATCCAAAACATCAGTGAAATGAGGAGAAAAAAAGCCCCAAACCTGTCCCCAAATTTACTCCTCGCTTGAACTTACGACTTAATGATGTTCCCCAGCGTGTGGTCCTCCTTGTTGATGGTGAACAAGCAGGCGTTGGGCACCTTCGTGTCCTTGTTGATGGTGATCCTGGGGGGATATACAGGATACAGGGATGTTATGGAGGAGGGATTTATGGGATGTAGGGATGTTACCGATCCACGCGGGCCAGGGAGTCCCGGGGGACTGGGAAAAAAGGGCCGGGCTCCCCTCCCCAGTCCCCCGCGGTCTGACCGGGGTTTAATTAGTCGCCCCCCGGGTGTCCCCTCACTTTTTCTCGCCCTCGAAGAGCAGGAAGGACTCGAAGGCCGGAGGCGCGTTCATCCCGCCGCCGTTGCTATGGCGGCCGCCGCTTCACTTCTGCCGACGTCACTTCCGCCCGCTCCTCTTTGTTCCCGACCCCAAGAGCGCCCCCAGGCGGGCGGGAGGACTCGGTGCAGGCACAGCGGGGGAATGGGGACAGCGACAAAGGCAGGGCTGGCTCCGACAKCAGAGCCACCGGCACGGCCATCGGTGGTGGCAGGAGGAAAACACACACCAGTGACATCATCAGCGGTGTCCCCACTGAGAACACCACCGCGGTGACCAACAGAAATGGCACCAGCAGGGGCAGTGGTGGTGGCACCCGTGCCACCAGTGACACCAGCAGTGCCATGAGCAGAGACTCCAGGAATGCCACCACTGCCAGCAATAGGCCACCAGCACAASCACCAGTGATGCCACCACCCGTAGGGCCACCAGAACTGGCACCAGCAGGACAGAGATGTCACCAGTGCCACCACCAGGGCTCTGGCCAGTCCCCCAGCCAGTGCCTGTCCCCATCCCCAGCAGACAGACAGGACAGGGCTGCAGGGTACAAAGTGCCTTTATTGTCACCGACGTGGTCCCCGAGACGGGAGAACCCAAACCCCGCGGGGGGACAAGGGGCCTCTCACGTCTGCAGCTGCAGCAGGGCCGGGGTCGGGGGGTCCGAGGGCTGTGCCTGGCGGTGACAACTCTCCAGGTCCCCCAGCACCCCGAAGAGCCGGCTCAGCCCCTCGGGCAGGGGGGCGTCTGCAGGAGAGAGGAGGCACAGTGACACCCCCCCAGCCGCCCTGGGGACATCTTCCCCAACCAAAACATCCCCCATGGGCCCCCAAACCCCCCAACCTACCTTCACCCCGGGGGCCGTTCTGGGCATCCTCAGRCTCCTGCAGCTCCCAGTACTTTTCCCTGGGGAGGGGGAGGAGAGGAACGGACCCTTGGCAGGAGGATGGGAGGGTGCAGGGGAGGTGCAGGGGGGTCTCCCGGGGTCAGGGGCTCACCTGAGGGTCCCCCGGAGGCTCTGGAGGTGGTGGAAGAGGCGCTGAGCCTCCACCGTGGGGTCCAGGGGGTCACTCCAGTCCTGCAGGGTGACGCCGTGCCGGGTCCGGTCACATCCCAGTCCTGCGGGGCAACAGGGTCAGCATAGGGGGGACCCCCGAGCACCCCAGCGAGGCTCCGGGGCCACCTCCCCGTACCTGTCCTGTCCCGCTGGTGGCAGCAGCTCCACTTGTCGCCGCGGAAGACGCCGGGGTGGTAKGAGCGGAGCACACGGGGGTTGTTGCCGCACACCTTGCGCAGGGCGGACAGCCACTGGTTCAGCTCGTTGACGCACTGAGGGGTTGGGGACAGTCAGAGGGACCCCCGGGGCTGTGACACCACCCGGGGCTGCGACATCACCCTGGCTGAAACACCACCCGGGGCTGCGGCATCACCCGGGGCTGCGACATCACCCGGGCTGTGACACCGCCCGAGGCTCTGACACCGGCCGGGGCTGTGACACCGGCCGGGGCTGCGACATCACCCGGGGCTGCGACATGACCCGGGCTGTGACACCGACCGGGGCTGTGACACCGGCCGGGGCTGCGACATCACCCGGGCTGTGACACCGCCCGGGGCTGTGACACCGCCCGGGGCTGTGACACCGCCCGGCTGTCCCCGCTGTCCCCACCTTGCACTGCAGGTAGGCTGTCTCCTGCTGCCCGCCCGTGTCCATGTAGACCACCTGCATGACGTGCGAGTTCCCGAAGCTTTTCTCCTCCACCTTCTCGGCCGCCAGGATGTCACCCAGAGCGATGGCACCGATGCGCTGATGGAGGGGACACACACTCAGGGCGTCAGTGCCACCTCGCTGCCACCTCCCGCTTCTCCCGCASCTCCTACCTCCGCGCTGGGGCTCTTGCCGAAGCTGAGGGACTCCCCGGTGAGGGAAAAGTGGAGTTTCTTGCCGGCAGCAGCGGCGAGCAGCGGCCCCTTGCCCCGCGTCTTGTGCACAAGGAGCAGCCCCTCCTTCACCACGGCCGGGGGTGGCCCCAGCGGTCGCCCCTCGCCCTCCTGCTCGCCGCTSTCCTCCTCCGTGCCCACCAGGCGGGTGATGAAGTCCTTCATGCGGGCGCTGCCCTGCTGCAGGGCGGGCAGCAGCGGCGACAGCCACGTTTCCTTGGGGCGCCCGGCCGCCGGCTCCATGTTCCCGACCAGCTGGATGGCCTGGAGAGCCCGGCGGGGGCAGTGTCACCCCCAGGACACCCCGCTGTCCCCGACAGGACACAGCCGGGCTCCTCCAACCCCCGTCCCGATGTTCCCCGTCCCACCTTGGCCAGCAGCAGCAGCGTGCGGCTGGTCCGGGCATCTGCGTGCGCGTCSCGCAGCTGGAACAGCTTGGGGGTCATGACGGCCGGCGAGAAGAAGCGCAGGCACAGGAAGCCGGTGACAGCCACAAATTTGGCGTGCTGTGACCGCCGAGGGGTGGGGGAGACACGTGAGGGTTTCTGCCAGAGTGGGGCAACCCCACACAGAGCGAGGCACTGGTGCCCAGGGCTGCTGGGCACTGTCCCACTGCCCGAGAGGGGACTGACCACAGCTGGGGACGGCACCCAGAGAGCCCCGTCCCGTCCTGGGGATGTCCCTGTTTGACCCCACCCCATTCCCTGTCCCAGCCCGACCTGGTGCTGCGGGAAGCGCTCCCCGACGCGCTGGAAGAGCYGGCGGAAGGCGGCGCGGATGACGGGGGGACACGCCGGGGCCGAGCCCACGATGGCGTCCAGGAGCTCGCCCAGGTAGGACTGGAGGTGCTGGCGGCCCTGCTCGATCACCTCGCCCTCCGTCTGCACCCGGTGCAGCCCCGAGCACCTGCGGGCGCCRCCACTGTCACCCCCGGTGCTGGGGACACCCCTGCCCCGCCACCCCACGAGCCCCCCCTTACCCGACATCTTTGATCTCCACCTTGCCTGGGTCCAGCTCCACGTATTTCTTCTCCTCAAACACGCGGGCGATGATGGGTCCCAGGACAGAGTGCAGGTATGGCATCCCTGTCACCTGCCGAGGGACCCCACAGGGGACAGTGATGGGCCACTGGTTTGGCACCCGACACCCCCAGGGTCACCCAGGGGATTTTGTCCAGCCTCCCAGCCCCAGGGRAAGGCACAGCCCCAGCAGAATTCCCAGTCTTCCCCCAGGGCCAGGGTGAGCTGGGAAGAGCAGGTTTGGGGTAGTGTGGCACCTTGAGGAAGGACTCCATCGACTTCGAGGCCAGGGAGTTGCTCCGGAACAAAGTGTTTGGTTCACCTGCGAAACAGGGCAGGGTCCATGGCCTGGGGGATGGACACAGGTCACCCCCTGGGCAGCTGCAGTGATGGGGGACATTCCCAGAGGCTGTACCTTTCCCCCCTGGCCATTCCCATGGGGGTTTGGGGATTTCCTGACCTCAAACCATCTGCTCCTCCATGAACCTCAGCCTGGGATGAACCCACCGATCCCACAGTGTGGTGGCTGAACCTCAACCATCATTCCCCAAAAAATCCTCACACAAACCCCAGGAGATTTTGCAGCCCCAGGAGATGACTGGAAGCCTCCAGCTCGACTCCCCACTCCAGCCTTACAAGGCTTGGCCAGCTCCAGCTCGAAGAGCAGGTCCAAGAACTCCTTGACCATCCCYTGGCCCAGGAAGAGTTTGACCAAGTTGACAGCGACCTCCTGCCGGCACTCGGCCGTGGTGGTTTCGTCCAGGAGGGTGACCAGGTGCACTTGGCCATCCTGGAGGATGTGAAGCCTGAGTCAGAGCTGGGAAACAGAGCTGGGAAATGGGGGTGCTCCAGCAGGGCTGGAGGCACGGAGCCCTCACCTGGCGCCCCGACTTCACCTCGTGGCACAGGAGCTGCACCAGGGGCTGGTAGCAGTGTGAGGGCAGCACCGTCTCATCCCGCAGCCTCACCTGCAGCTGCAGCGAGCCCAGGCTGCCTCGGCGCCTGCAGAAACACAGCGTGGGTGAGTGGAAAGAGGAATGGATGGATG